CCCATTAGATAAAGCAAGACCATTAGATATGACACTTGGGACCATGAAAGAGCAGCATGGGCCCCATTTACATAGATGTACAAATGTAACTGGGATGGTACCCTTCACCTTGTGCATGCACTGTGGGGTTTTTGAGTGCCTGACTACATAGATATGTGGCTCTCAGTGTAGGCAGTGGCTCTTCCTACAGGCATATCTGTCAAACACCACCCAGTTAAGCTTTCCTCCCTTGTATGTTTTCTCTCAAATAATAATGTTATCCTTTAATTGGAGAAGATATTTGCAGCATCCTGGTCCAGGGTAAAGGAATTATAATACTTCCATTAAGTCATGGAAATAACTTTATTTAATAAAACTGGCTCTCAGTGTAGGCAGTGGCTCTTCCTACAGGCATATCTGTCAAACACCACCCAGTTAAGCTTTCCTCCCTTGTATGTTTTCTCTCAAATAATAATGTTATCCTTTAATTGGAGAAGATATTTGCAGCATCCTGGTCCAGGGTAAAGGAATTATAATACTTCCATTAAGTCATGGAAATAACTTTATTTAATAAAATTTAGACCAGAAGCTCATTAACTTAAATCCAATTGTTTAAATCTATTTTAAAATGTTGATGACAATCTAAAATCAGATGTGTACTGGGATACAAGGTCTAGAAAAATGAAATCATCAGTTTCAGCCTTTAAAGGTAATTTGAAGGGGGGATGAGAATTTTAAAATACATAAAGTAAAATCAGATTTTTCACAACTAAGATACTTAAGCAAATTATCTTGCAACATATAAAAGAGAATTTTAGTAAGCACATTGTCTTGAATTTACATCTTAAATAATCATTTTCAACAGCATGTGAAAGATAAAAATGAAAATTAACAATGGGAAAGAGTGGAGTCAAAATAAAAGGGATTTGTGTGTGTGTGTGTGTGTGTGTGTGTGTGTGTGTGCGCGCGCGCGCGCGCACCCATGCATGAGTGTGTATGTGCATGCATGTGGAGGTCAGAGTTCAACCTCAGGTTTCATTCCATATGTTGACTACCTTGTAAGCAACATTTCTCATTGGCCTGGAGCTCACCAGTTTGTTTAGAATAGTTGGCCAGTCATGTCTAGGTATCCACCTGTCTCTGCCCTCCCTTTCAAATGCAGCACTAATTATGAGCCCAAACAACTGTCTTTGGGGTTTTTTTCTCCTTTTTTTTTCTTTTCTTTTCTTTTTTTTCATCTAGGTCTTTTATTTCTTCTTGTATATTAAGCCATGAACTCATAGGGAATGGGCTCCAGCAGCTCAGGCTCCTTTCCAATAGTTCTCACAAAGTGTGCTTCCCTGGGTGGGGTGGGCTGGTGCTTCAATTGAACCCGGGTTCCTTTCTCTTTGGCTTCCTTTTTTCTCATCATTTTCCTTCACGAATTTCAGGAAGCTGCCTACGCTCTTAAAGTGTTTAATATGCACATTAAATCTCTTGGCAAGAATCTTGTCCTTAACTTGCTTCTTTACAACAATGCCAGCAGCATGTTTTTCCATGGTAAAATTTATGGAATTCCTTTTTGAACAGTACCCATTCCCTTAATGTCTACAATGTCAACCTTCTTGTAGATTTGCACATGTGTGGCTAAAGGAACAACTCCATGTTTTCTAAAAGGCCTAGAGAACATATAGCAGGTGCCTCTCCTCTTTCATTTTGTGTTTGACATTTTAGCAGGTCACTGGAAGATGGCTGCTCCACCTGAAAGGATAACTTGGGCTTTACCTGGGTTCTTAGGGTAGAACTTACGTCTTCATCCTTGTGTGGCCAGCACTTTACTGTCTGAACCATCTCCCAAGACTAATCCCTTTTACAATTTCTGTAACAGGCTGACTAATGGATATTGTTGATAGCTTGCAATCTGTTGAACATGTGAAATATGTCTCTTTATCTGGAGGAGACTGATTAAGGACCTTGAGGTGGAGACGTTATCCAGGATTATCAGGATGGACTGCAAATGAAAATACACACATCTTTTAAGAAAGAGACAAAGGGAACATAAGGACATGAGAAGAGAATATGGAAACAAAACAGATGCTTAAATATGCTGTGAAGCTGAACTGAAAGCTGGAGAAGGACACATGAGCCAACAGATGTAGCCCTGAAGTCTGGAGCAAGCAAGAAACCTTTCTCCCTACTGTCTCCACAGTCATAGGGTTGTACCTCTATCTAGGTTTCAAACATAGCTTGGATAATTGACCCGCAGAACTAAAATATCACAAAGGTTTTGAGTTAAAAAAATATGAAGTCTCTGGTAATTTGTTACAATATCCACAGAGAACTAATAAACTTACCTAAAGATTTAGAATTAGTCTTTAATCCTAACACTCTGGAGGCAGAGGCAGTAGTGATTGAGGCCAGCTTGGTTTATACAGAAAGTTCCAGACCAGCTGGAGCTACAAGGACAGCCTATTTTTTTAAAAAAAGAAAGAAAGAAAGAAAGAAAGAAAGAAAGAAAGAAAGAAAGAAAGAAAGAAAGAAAAAGAAAAAAAGAAAAAAAGAAAAAAACCTCATAAAATTCTCCAAATGGTTTTCTACTTTCTTTAAATAATTCCAAAAGCAGAGACTAGACAATGACTCAGTGATTAAGAGCACTGGCTGCTCTTGTAGAGCGCCCAGGGTTGATTCCCAGCACCCACATGGCAGCTAACAACTATACATAACTCCAGTTCCAGGATCTCCATCTCCCTCTTCTGACCTCTGTGGACTTTGCACAACATGGGTGCACCTACATACATGCAGGCAATACATTTATACACATAAAAATGTAAAAAATAAAATAAAATAAAATAAAAAATTCCAAAGATGGGGGTTAGAGAGATGGCTCAGCAGTTAAGAACACCTGTTGCTCTTGCAGAAAACTCGGGTTCAAATCCCAGCACCCACACCACATGGCAGCTAACAAATGTCCATAACTCCAGTCCCAGGGGATCTGACAACCTCTTCTGACGTCCGTGGGCACTGCATGACACTAGGAAAGTTACCGACGTGCAGGCAATACACGCATACACATAAAATAAAAAATAGTATTTTTTTAAAATTCCAAAGGCAAACATTTCATTTTACTGAAAGCATGGTAAATTAGGCAATGAACATTTTTATATCTATATTTATTTCATG